ATGGTTATAGGGTTCATTTTAAAAACAGCCCTTCTTTTAAGCAGAGGGAAAAGATCTACGTTGAGAGTCGGGGCTCCCTCTCTCTCACACACACACACACATGCACCCAGAGAGCAGTCCCTCTGCACCCCCCTCCCCACCGCCCCTCCCTCCAGCTGGCACCCCTGTTTCTTTCTGGAGAGATGGTACCTGGTTCCTTTCTTTCTGGAGCATCCCCCCGGTCTCCTGGCATGGGCGGAGGCTGCGCTGCTGCCGGGCTGGATGTTCCTAGGCTTCGGCCAGGAGAGAGCCGGGGTCTGACGCTCTCTCCTCCTCTTCTTCCTCCTCCTGCTGCTGCTTCGGCATCTTCTTGAGGCTCCAGACACATGTCCCGCTCTTCCCCGGCGTTATTTTCGTGCCTGGGAAGGAGAACATCCTCCCTTCTCTCACTCTGGAGACCTGAAAGCAGCAACGCCGGGCGCAAACCCACCCTTGCAAAAAAGAAGAAGAAAAGGCACACTGGAGTTGGCGTCTCGTCTATTTTTAGCCCACCCGGCACACAAAAAAACCTCCACTGCACCAAGATGCATTGGGGTGGGGGGGGGAAGAGAGACTTTAACTCCCTCCCCATCTCAACATTTCCTGTGGTGCCAGATTTCCACTCGGTCTCTCCCCACCTGCCAATACTCCTCCCTTCTGAACAATTTGTGGTTTGTTTGGTTTTTTTTTTTTTTAATAATATATATATTTTTTTTGGAGGGGGGGAGGAAATGATTACCATCTCTTCACCGGCTGTATTCCTTCTGTAGCAACCAAGGGAGGATCTATTTCTCCCTTTTCATTTCTCTGCAGGTTTTTCTTCCTTCAGATTGGGGTCCGGGACTCCTCAGAAAGGAAATCAAGAATTTTTTTTTTAAAAACACAACCTTTCTAAGAGGGCTTTTCGGGGAGGGAGGAGGAGGAGGGACAAATCCTCACCCCCTCCAGCCGAGCGAAAAACCTGGAAGGCGGAAGAAAGCAAAAATGTCATTTCTGTTGGGGTCAATATTCTTTCCTACCTTGATCTCATCTCATTATTTTGACTGTCAATTCCTCGGGGAACAAGAGGAAAACGGCAGTAAACCACTCTGAGCCCATGGGATTAAAAAATAAAACACCCTCCAAATTACAATAGATACAGAACAAAAAATCTAAGCGCCCACCTTGACTGAATCTGCTCCAATTAATCCTTCTCCTTCTGGCTGTTCCCCCCCCCCCGGCTTCCTCTCCAAAACGCCAGACGATTGAGATTGTAGGCCCCTCGGGGCAGGCTTCATATTCCCGAGGAGATATGCACGCGTTCTGGTCTATTTCAAACACTGACAGCCGGATTCTTGGGAGGGAAAAACTCTGAGATGGTCTTAAAGGCTGGATCCCCAAAACAGGGTCCCGTGGTGGGTAGGGATGATGGGGGTTGTAGTGCCTCGTGTTTCGAAAAGACAGACTGGGGTTCTGACACGATCGCTGAATCTTATTAAGGGTGCGACTAAAAATATAACTGACATCCAAATTCATGGACCAACCGTGTGGCCTAGCGGCAGACCTCCGGACTTTAACCAAAAGTAGACCTCTGCTTAGCCACAAAGAGAAAGCTTTTTTTTGGGGGGGGGGAAGCTGTAATTCAGTAATAAAGCAACTGCCAATCAATCAGGAAAATTCATACTTAGCAACCAACCGGAAAGATCAACAGCAAACAAACAACTGCTCCCAATGAACAAAAGTGAGAGACGGAAACCTCGGGAAGGAATTATTAGCTATTGGTAGACAGACGAATACCCTAGCCCAAAAAAGTCCCTCCCACAAACTACAGACAGCATGTAAGTTAGGAAATGAATGCCAATTATTTTCCCCAGAAAATAGGATTTTACTTTCCGTCAAAGAGAAGGGTCAGAGATAACAAAAGGATCTTACAGAGGATGGGAAAGCAACTCTCCCAAACTCTGGGCAGACGCAGGACAGGGTGGCCTGCCCTGATCCAGAGAAGCAAAAGGGGGAACGTAGCTTTTGTCAAGGGAGTTTTTACAACCTGGCAGGCAGCCTGCAGAGGTTGTGGCTGGTAGGGACCCCTTCTAGGCTGGGGTGGCTGTCAGTCTGTCCAGCATCAACCAATCATTCGTTACCTTGCTCCGGAATTCAGCGAGAGCCCCGCCTCTCTGCTCGGCGCTTTTTCCCTTCCCTAGAGTTTGTTATAAGCCACACTGCAATAGATACAGCCCATCAATTCACGGGATAACCATTATTTTCCAGCTCTTTGTTTATCATTTCTCTCCTTAAAACCAAACAAAGGAACGAATAAATAAATTTGGGTCGGGGAAATTCAGGAGAGGTTTGACAGAGAAAAAAAAAAGAAAGTTAGGGGGATCCTTAAATGTACTTAACAATCACGTGTAGGACTCTTCTCCCCCCCCCCAGTCCCCTTTTGCCATTTTTCGTATTCAGCATCCCTGGCAGCATCCCCTCCATCTTCCTCCTGCATCTCCCCCCCCATCATCTGCTCTGTTGCCGTGGAAACCTCATGGCTGGGTACCTAAGACATCCCGGGGGTGATGTTCTGCCGGGAGAACCTTTACATGGATGGAGGAGAAAGGGTGGCGGAAGGGGGGTGGGTGGGATCGGAAAGGGTCCCAATATCCAGGATCCTTCGGTTTCTCCGGAGACCCCCCTACTCAGGCCCAGGCAGAATCGAGCCATGCTGGGCTATTAATAAAACACCCGCGAAGCCAGCGAAGGGTTTATTTTTAAATCGGTGCAATATTAAGGGTGAGCTGCTGTGGCGGGGGGGGGGCGCTGGGGGGGGTG